ATGGGTTTTAAGAATCACTCTTTGGATTTGAGCTAGCTATTTAGCATCGTAGAAAAAAATCAAAAATAAAGTGTTCTTATATTTTTGTCCAGTACTGTATGTTATTTGCGTCAGTACAATCATCCGCAGCATTTTGAGAAAATGTTGTGAGTATTTGCTGTCGATGAGTGATATGTTTGAAAGTATGATTCATTGTATAGAGTCATAATGAAATCAAAAAGGTCGTTCGTAGATCCAGCTTCATGGTGATATATTGTGTTGTATAACATTGGAATGAGATTTTGGTCAGTTGTGTCTTGACTTACAAGACGTTTGCAATGGACAACAGTAGTGTATATAAGGTCTTCTTGAACTTGTTGTTTCTTATATTCATCATAAGTACGCAATCACACAAAACTTGATTCGACAGATTCCGGATTTCTACAAACTAAATGATACCACTAAATGTAAAGGCATGCCTACTGTATGAGTGACTGTAGTGCTTTAGTCAAAGTGTGCTTTTCTAAATTTCGAAGTGTTTATTTGCACACTAGCATCAACTGACATTACGAAAGCAAAACTTGAATATGATCAGTTTTACTACAATAGCTCATGAAAGTTGAACAATTATTCTTACAATTTCATTGATATGTGCAATCATTCACAAGAATGTATTTCAACTTATCGAATTAAGGATAAAATTTCAGAATTGTATCGAAAAGCTGATCAAATGTTCGACTGAAGAGTCTACTTGTCGACCTGTCAACATCCTGAAAGATTTACATTCTCATTGCAAAAACAATTTTGATCAATCATGGATGGTTACGGAAATGATACTATCAAACATTGATTGCAGCAATTGTTTGAAGGATGGCTGAGAATTTATTCGTCAGTATATTGAAGATTCGTGGAAGATTGGCATCACAAAGAATTTGAATTCACAACATTACTCCAGGAAACCAATGCCATTTTGTGTTCATTGTAGTACAATTTGGGATTATCGGTCCAATAAAGATGAGAATGTAATTTATTGCCAGAAATGGCATTGGATGAAGAAGATCTACTCTCGTATCGTATCTCGCAGTATAGTACTAAAAGTTTCGAACATTTCCGAGCTTCATGAAAAATTTCAGAACATGTACGAGTACTAATCATCGCCGAACATGTGTTACTTGAGTGTGGGGTTCCCATGCTTTCAGGCCAATGTATCTGATTCGTCACTCAATAATGAGTACTCTTGACTTTACATTAATCTAGAATATGTTAAAAATGATCGTGTCGACCGTGCCGATGATATTGATGAACAAAATTTTGAACAATATTGAAGTCGAATGACGATGCTCCGATATGTACGCTACAAAACAATATCAATTTCACGCCTGTTAAAAGAGGATTATTGCGGTACATCTGGTCAAATTTCCCAGCTTTAAAAATCGATGCTATTTTGCTTCCAACGAGTCTCATATTTATCATTTGTGCATTTATACTTTGAGCAGATGGACAGAAATTTCTTCACAATCAATATTCTTTTACGTTTACCACTAAACAAGCGATCGTCAGTGGTTTCTATACATTCTTTCAGAGAACGATTTATGAAGTGAAACTGAACTTTCATGTTTGAAGTAAGGACTATTAAAGAGAACCATTCACAATAGAAACAGCAGAATAGACTAAACTGACAAAACTTCGGTATTTAGAATTACGATAATAATTTCTATATTGTGCCAAGTAGAAATAATGCATAGACGTTTTTTTTAGCTAGATATGACTTAGTTAGACGTGCATTGAATCTAAATTCGCTTTCGTGGGAAACTGTTTATTTAATAATTTAAATTTTGATGTTCAACTAAAGTTATTCGTGATGAATGGCATTATATATTAAAATCCATTAACATTCATCTCCTGCATTCGATAGAATGGTTCTAATGATGCTTACCGTGTTTTTTCTGTTCGCTTTGCTCTTTCCTTTAGTTTATATCGATGCAGCTATCACTATACATTATCCATCTCGTCTACTTTCCTATTGGATTCCTGCTGATGTTGCTATATCACCCATCAATCAACATATATTCATTACTGATTTGTCGTTTAATCGAATATTACACTTATCATCGGAAGCTATTTATTTATCAACACTTAACTTACCTATGAAGCAATCAAATTCTTATTCGCCAGTGAAGTTGACGATAGACTTAGCTGGCTATTTATATGTTGCAATTGGTGCGAATGATTCGTTTGCAACGATATATAAATATAGAACAACTGATGAACAACTAATTAAAAATATTTCTTTACCCTTCTATGCTCCTGCAGCATTGACTATTTCGCCTATCAATGGCGATATCTACGCAGCAACTACAGACATTAGAGATACATCTGTTTATGTCTTAAATAAAAATGGTCAACAAGTTAATAAATTCAATGCTTCAAATTTCTTACCTCCACTTAATCAACCGACAGCATTAACTATGGACAAAACCGGTGAAAGATTATATGTTGCTGACAGGAATGATGCATCAACAGGCCGAGTATTTCTCGTCAATTCACAAACAGGCAAACAGTTACAATCCTATATCAACAGTAATATATATAGGCCAACAGCTGTAGTAGTTGATGTTAATCTAAATGTCTATGTTGCCGACATGGCTACTAACTGTATCGTTGCTTTAACGTCAAATGGTACATTGATACATACATATACTAACAGTCTATACAGTCCGCAAGGTCTCACATTTGCAACTGATGGTAATTTACTTCTATCTGACACGCTGGATGCTCGACTAGTGTTATTCGATGTTATAACAGCAAAAGTTTTGCAAGTTTATTCTAGTAATGATCCAGTATTAATTGCACCTCGTTTAGTGGCACTTCATAATAGTGGAGATATTTATGTTAATAGTTTAACTGATGATGTAGCCTACAATATTTTAAAAAAGTTAACGATTACGAACTCATCTGCTAATGTTACACAAATTATTAATCCGAAACCTCATTTTGGTTTTCCAGTTGGTTTAGCTTTGAATAAACAAGATCAAATATATGTTACAGATGCTGATGTTCCATATGGTTACATTCATATTTTTGCACCGAATGGTACTGAACAAGGTAGAATCTACACAGTCAATCCACCACTGAGGAATCCTCATGGTATAGCTGTCGATTTACAGGATAATTTGTATGTTGCCGATAGTGGTAATGGTCGTGTGATTAAATTATTGATTAATGGAACGATAATACAAAGCTATAAGACGACACCACCATTACAGTATGTTTATGATGTGAAAGTAAGAGATGATGGAGTTCTTTACATATCCGATACTCAATGCGCATGTATCTATCAGTTGACTAATGATGGTAGGCAACTTGCAATCATAAAATTACAATCTCAGACATACCTTGTTAATCCTTTTATTACTCTTTTCCCGTCTTCGGCCTCTTCTAATCCTGATCTATTAGTCACAATTACATATCCTTCACCCCAAATCAATCATTATTCATCGAATGGTACTCTAGTAGCTATTTATACAATTCCGACATCGGCCTCAACTAGCTGGACTCCTTATGCTTCTGTCATTGATGAAAAACGTCGTTATTTAATTGTAGCTGAATCGGGTGGAAGAGTTATGTTTTTTGACTTGTGACTTTACGTCATGTTCAAATATTGTTTAATACATTTATTTTATTCAAAATTTAAAATAAATTGTACTCCTAAAGTTTTATTTCATATAAGGAATATTGCCTACATTTGGCGTCCTATTTTACGTACGCTGTTTCAATAAAAACATCCTTGCCACTGATATGTATGAATATCCTGAGAAAATCGGTAAAAAATTCGAACTGAGTTTCTGTTCTTCATTCTCAGTTTTTAGTATTTCAAAAAAGAATATGACTTTCTTCCATTTCCTCTACGCCAAGAGTTGCCAGATCTCCGAAATGACAGAAAAAATTCCATTTTTTTCATTTTCCCGAACGATTTCCTACTTTCAGAATTTTTTTTCGATTTTTTACGAGCTGTGATATTTTTCGAAATTCAAACTTTTGTGATTTTGATTATAACTTCGAAATCAATTATGTCCAGCAATTAATGCACTTTCGTTTTGCTAATATACTCATTATATAGAGAAGAGCTTTGAGACTATTAACAGTATAAGCTCGCTTGAATCTAAAGCCGTTCATAACTAAACCGAACAAACTGTATTATTAAAAGCAGTCATTTGATAAATCATTATCGCTAAAATAAACTGAGCTTTAAGTTTTAGAAGAAACTTTTCCATATGATAATTCGAACGTGTTAAACTGAATTAGATTCAGTCGTGAATGATGAATTTGAGGAGATTTGAATAGGAGTATGGGAAAGATTAAGAAAG